CAAGCAACCTAAAGAAAGTTACGACGAACTAGCCAATGAGGCTATTTTAGCCACTTTACCGAAAAAAGAATTTTCCGAGTGAGGGACCATCACTTTCCTCTCTGACAATGAGATTTAGAAGGCAGATACGAAATTAGGATTTGAAGACCTGTACCGTACTGTAGTATGGTTATAGACGGCCATGGCGACGTTGAGCCTTCCCTTGTCATTAATGCGAATTAATGTGGGCGTTATTCACCGAAAGAAGGTCACATTGGTTTCGCATTGATAAGTGGATAAGGTAAGCATAAGCCCAGCTTCAACCACAGGATATGAAGAGCTTAAATTCCCCCTAGAAGGCCCACGTTGCAGAGTGTGCACACTGAACGCAGCTAGCAGCAGAAAAAAAGTCTGGAGATAGTACCAAACCAAGGAAAGCAATATGTAAATTTTTAGAATTTGGAGCCTGAAATTAACACTACTAGTCGTACCCCACCACAAATTAACTTATTAGTCGCAAATGTCGAGCACACCGCCTTAACCATTCGAGAAACCTGTGTGCCGCCACATTGTAGGTCTCTTAACTAACGCCCTAAGTTTTATTGCGAACTTCAAATATTGATGGCTCGCTGTTCTCTAAAAATTTCGAAATGGGCTTTTTGATACCACATTTTTCACACTTCCCACAAGGCCATGAAAGCGTAGTTATGAACCGTGTGAACGCGACCTGAAAACTGCTGATTCTGCTACAGTTACCTCTTTACCAGTTCACGTCCCTGCCCCGAATTCTTCCCAAAAAAATCTAATTTTGCACCCAAGCGAACACGAAGCATGCGTCGAATACAAATGATTCGGTAATTTATGATGCATAAAAATTAAAGATGTAAACTAAATGAATTCAAAAAAGGATAGCCAAGCTGAAAAGAAACTCTTCTCAAAAAAAGGAGACGAAGAGAAAACAGAAAATGGTATGGTAAATGGGTATCGGAAACTCAAACTCTCCCGCAAAATGAAATTTGGCGATTAACTATTAGTAGAACAATTTGCAATTCAAAAGCACCATTCTAGGAATTTCATCATAATGAACATACCGTGCCTGCTGCATCTTTTGCATATGCATGAAGTACTGTTGCTGAGACATGTTCGCTCCGTTCGGATAGCCTTGATACATCATAGCAGCTGAAAAATTGTTACTCAAAACGGCCTATCAGCCAGACAGATTGAAGAAAATTGCACAAAAGATGTCTAATACACTGTCTTTGGGAGCTGTTTTTTAAGAACAGGAAATCTTCCCACAATGCTGCGCTATGATTGGTCGGTCACCCCAAATTTGAACAAAACCAAATCTAACAAAAAACTCTTGGAGAGAAAAAAAACTGTCAGTATTTTCCTGAAAATATTTCGAAGAAATGAATGGCAAACCTCGCTGTTGCATCATCGCCTTCATGTGTTGCTGATGTTTCTGCATCATTACCATGTGGTACTGTTGATTGTCTTCAGATTCTGGATGTATCGCTACCTACAACGTAACCGACACCTCACCTAGTTACCAAGAAAAGCATGAAAATGAAATGAAAGGTGAGAACGAACCTCATTCGGTGACGTCGGGCACATCGAAGGACTTGGGCGCATCCCACAACTGTATGGAGTTGAATCGGAGGTAGAGAATTGGGCTTGTTGCGACTGTTGCTGAATGACTGGTGTTGAGTCAGTGGAGATGGGAAATTGAGGCAATTCCATCGAAGGAAAGCGTTGACCCAACGTCGATGCATCGGCAGTGGACGTTGACGGCATCGGAGAACAAGCCACAGATGAAGACACCGTCTGTGACGTTGGAAACGAGTTCCCACGAAAGCTTGGTGCCGACTTGGAAGAAGGGAAATGTCCATTCGCAGCAGGGAAGTCCCCCATTAGGTGGATACGATCCAGGCGGGTAGGAAGTACCATTTGGAAACACTGGGCTGGAGAATCCGACCATCACTCCTTTACCCTGCTGCTGCATTTCATGCATCTAAAATAACCGCAATAAGGATGAGCTCATACTTTGCGATCGCTTTGCAGTTCAACCATGGAGCAGATACGTATCGATCGTGCAAACGCATGATCGATACGTATCTACTTCACACTCGAACCACAAACGAATTGCTTGGCAGTCTCAAAGAACGACTGCATCCTAACAAAGAAGAAATGAGAACAATGAAAGAGATCAGATATGATAGAAATCCTAAGCAAGAAAGAGAGCCTACCATCATTCCTGGGTAGAAACTTCCATTAGGAGTATGGTAGCCCATGTTACCGTACATATCAGCAGATGCTTTCGATATCTCAGGCATACCTGATCCTGTAAGGGCAAGACATATAGAAGAATTGGGTACTAAATGCCAACCAGATCTAGCCAAACTAACCCTCCATCATGCGAAAACCTTGCCTCCACTCCTCGTGACCGTAGTCGTTATTATCAAGGTGACGTTTCCTGTCCTGAAAACGAACGAATGAAAAGAAGCGTAACAACTACAACCTGTAGGTATGTCTACAACGTAACCAGTTGAACAACTACCTACCCGATTATTGATAGGTGTAGACTGGTATAACGGTGGGAGGCATATTTGACGACACATTGCCACCGCTCAAACCATCTTTCTGCTTACCCACACTTTCTGCTCGCTTTTTCGCTTCTTCTTCGAGCCATCTACAATGAAACCACTGAAGGAAGGAGAAAGCGCAAAACTGTTTCCACTGCTTCAAAATGATTATACGGTCAAATCGTCAGAATAGTCAGAATTTTCTGCGGAACAAACCAATCAGCTGTATGTAGCGGTCTTTGAGTAAGTTAGTAAGTCACACGTAATTGCCAAATTTTAACTGCCATCAGAGCAAATGAACCTGCATATTCCTTGGCATGTTACTACTGTTTTCTTAGTGTACGATAGCCTAGAAGCTACATCACACCGAACATCTGAAAGCGCCGCGTCAGCGACCTCCAGGAGCCGTATCCTACCCTTCTCCAGGGGGGGGGGCGAAACTCCCTTCAAATTTTCTTTATCTTCTCAACCAGGAATCGCTCTAAGAAAGGCCTATTCGTATCTGTAGGCTTATCCATGCGTGTAAAAGTAAACATGTGCGGAAAGTAAATAAAGGGTACCGTTGAACACAAACCTAAAGGGATTCCCCTAGCCTGGGGGAAGGACAGGACACGGCCCCAGGACGCCAAGTGTCTTAACCCTATTTCGGTAACCCTTTATCGAGAAAAAAACATGGTAAGAACCAAAGCTGAATCGGAAGCTACGAGAAACAAATACACAAACGGATAGCGAAACAAGACAGCGGGCTGATGGATAGCTACTCGTCGTATGAACCTCGGCCACTAGACGGAGATTGCAAAATAATTCATCGAGGGAATTCCCAGATTCCAAATCCATTGCAGTCCACCAATCGAACCTCTTTCCAACAATACCCACCCACAACAGCGAAGCAGCCTAACTACAGCAGTAGTCAAGTCTCTACTAAAAGCTAATTTCCGCTACTACGGTGAAACCAAAGCAAAATAAAGTGCAAAAGGTCACAACCGCAACTACGACACAAAGACATTCGTGTAACTCAAAAAACCATTGAAACGATGAACACATGTCCAAATGTCCAAACTAAACAGTATAGGAATCTATGTGAAGCACACACCTTTTGCGAAGCTCATGTCGATCTTCCCGCTCAGCTGCAATTTGTCTCTGCCTCGCTTCACTATATCTCTCACTAGCTATAGCAGCGGTTCGCTTCCAAGCTTCCATTGAAGCACGTAAACGATCGGCGTCCGATGAGGAGGCAGAGGATGAGACCCTAAAGAGCGCCGGAAGAAAATCAACAGCACAAAGTATGGAGAACTGGGAAAACGGAAAACATAAAACGCCTCTACAAACATGCACTACGTCGCCGGAAAGTGACTAACACAAGGGCTGCACAAAATAAAGCACTGATATGGAAATACGGTGAAAAGCTAGGCAAAAACGGGATATCGACAATAAAATATAAAAATAAAGCAATCAACTCACGGTGGATCTGGTGTCGAGGCATTGCCATTGTTCAGGGTTGAGGACGGGGACTGGCCAGGCATCATAGCTACTTGCATCCTGCAATAAGCAAACTTTTCAAGACAGAAGGTGGAAACGAATTCATTTCCAAAAACACGCAAACAGTGACACTCGCAAAGAACTGGTTCCGATCTTGCCTCACAGCAACAATGCTAGCATTACGTTCTCTTTTCGTACATTTCATATCTTAATCTGAGAAGTATGGGCCCATATTCGAAAGCTTACAATGAAGCAGGGAGCAATTTAACAACTAGCTACCTCGTGGAGACTACACATCAAACAACATCGCGGACCAGTTCTCACAGCGACGTTTACCCATATAACTGAGCCAAGTACGAATGGATAAAGGAAAACTAGACACAGTGAATTAATACGTGAATGCCGATGAGACAGAGGCAAAAGTTAATTTCAAGCATAGTGAATCCCGTAGAACAACTTTCCGAAGGGAGAAAAAATGAAAAAATGACAAATAAATAATATACTTTGTTTAGTAGCACACGAGGTTCGCAAGACCACAATAGCGCTAACGAATGCCGAGAAACATGGAACTTTCTAAAAATCTGAAAAAAAATCAGAATCTCAAGACTCTTGGAAATCGAGGCTACTCTCTGTTTCCATAGTAGTTCCACTGGAGAAATCAGCAAAGCGCCAGAACCCCATAGAAACCTTCCCGACCACGTACGGTATGCGTAAAAAATAGCACGATGCAGAGCGAGTCATTAGATAAAACCAATACGAACGAGTTGGGCGGTAGACGGATATAACACATTACTCCCTTAGCTTCACTAAAGGATGAACCCTACTCGTTCAGGAATTCAAACTCTTGGTGAGGCTTTTAAGAATGATACTATGCTATCTGCAAAGGGTGCTCGCAGGGCTCTAGCGGGAAACAGATCTGCAAGAGCCTCCGTTCCAAAGTTTTTCAACCCTAAAATAAAATCATATGGCCCCAAGTCCCTGTCCTTTCGTGGTATTGTTTCGGTAGGTTTCACTACCTTGCCAAGTAACCAGGGGCCGGATTCAATCCTCCCTCGAGGAGGTTGGGAGACAAAATCCCTTTGAATCCATTATATTTGTTTTCAACGACATCAACGACGATAGTGTCTTCACTTCAGTGCACTTTAAGCAATTCAAGTGAGAATACAGAGAAATCCTTATAGGAATTTCAGTCCCTCGACCCCTTGGAGGAGGATTGAATCCGGCCCCAGTCTATGTGACCGCTCATCTTCTTACCATCGTACCTATTAAAGCTTATGAAGGCTTTAGTAAGTACGATTAGGTAATAAGATGAGCTCATGGAAAGCTGAGTGGTACGACCACAACCAGTTTCACCTCCAATTTGAGAAGTACACACGGTCTGAGGAAACGAAAGGCTTCCTTGAATAGCTTTTACATAACCAGATTAGTCCCCCGTCAACCGCCGGGACCTTCCTTTCCTGCGCAAGCTTTCTATCCTCCGCTATGGTCCCTTCCTCCTGTGACACCAACACCTCGTGGAAGTGACGCGTATGCAACACAATGGTGTTTCAAACAGTAGAAGGGACACAATCATGATATGACGGTAGATTTTTCGCTTCCCTTCCTCATCCTCCCTTCCTCTCTCCACTGCCCTCCAGCTGCCACTGCAGCACCATGTGGAATGAACGGAAGTGTGCTAAGCAGGTGTTTATATAGCCCTAAGAGTGTTATCACAACTATCCTGCTACAAAACATTGATATCTCAAATCCTGTAAGCTACCCGATTTGTTAGCGGTTTGTTTATCCCATGAGCTTCCTCCTTCTCACTCACTTCATTTTGCGGACGGACACACATACATACATACATACACACGCACACACACACACACACACACACACACACACATACAGATACACAAACCCGACACACAAAGTTAGCGCTTTATAATATAGTAGGATAGAAGTGTTGCTATGCC